TCACGAATATTATATAAAATTTATATTATATTTTATAAAATTTAAAAAATGACTTGAACTTCATAAACGTCTTGGTAAAATCCGACTTTTCTTTTGAGTTTATAAAAGTGGAACAACTCCATATGAATCGTTGCGGCGAAAGAGTAGCTCTTATTTTTCTCCAAATAATACTGCAACATAAAGTTTTTTATGAATAGTTTATTTGTTGTATTACAACAAATAAACCGTGTGAAAAAAACTTCATGTTGCAGTATTATTTGAAGAAAAATAAGAGCTACTGTTTCGCCGCAACGATTCATATGTTCGTCTTACATCGAAATCTCTTAGAACAGGTGGATGATATTTTTCCCATTCACGAACTGGAATTATCGTAACTGGCAGATCATGTACAAGTCTTCTATAATTATTTGAGTTATGTGGAGCCTAAAATATGTTTAATACAGATTTATTCTTTCGCATAATAAATTAATTAGCTGATGATTTATAATACAAATATCAAAATAAGAGAACAAAGCAGATACGCTTTTAATAAATTTTAACGTCGAAAAATGTTCCTTGGGATTATATGCATAGTTTCCACGAATTCCAATGGAATGGATCCACTTGTTTCTTTCACTTCCAATAATATTTCATTTGACAACATAATGTGAACACAACCCAATACATTAAGTTTTATATTGAAAATACAAATCTTACGCTCAAATAAAAAAATAAACAATTTATTCGAAAAGAAATAAATAAAACTCTGCAGAAGAACTCTTTTACTAGTCATTCATTACATTTATTTTTCTTTATTTGTGGAATTATTATTTTGAATTTTCGAAATGCAACTGACATCTTTCTGACATTTTTCTATCCGCGCGGTGTATATGTGTCAAACCAAATCCAGTAGTTAGTATAAACAACTTTTGCACCAACCGATTTTGTTTACAATAAAACTTTGTTTTGTTTTCAACAGGATTTCTTGAGAATTATATGAGAGTGTTTGAAGCGTGGTTTGGGCGATCAATTGGTTTTATTGTCATTTCAAAAACGATTTTGTGTGTTCAGAATGCTGTTCCCTGTGGAATGGATATATTCACAGTTGGTTTTGTGCGGTTTTGTGACTCTCTTTGTTTTAATTTCGAAATAACAGAGTGTTGATAAAATTAACTGTGAATATTCCAACAACATTTCGATCGGCAAAATATTTGATGTCACGTTGGAAATAAATTTCATCATTCGATTTAGAATACAGAGTCACTTTGTTGAGGTAAGAGGTGATATTTATAATGCACTCTTCATTACTGTTTCATTTAATTTGTGATAGAAGTGTTTATATCTTATTGTGTTTGTGATCTATGCTATATTTGGTGTATTTTTTTCTTTAATTTTTGTACAATAGATCAATACCGCAGTACGTCGTTGAAGATGACTCTAAATCAAGTGCTGCGGGAAGAGTATCGTGTACCATTCATCGATCAGGTCACATACTGGTGCCTTTCGGCCACAATGATTACGACTCTGGCGTCATTACTGTTTTTGTTCAAAGCAAACAAAGCCTTTGACGATGAAAATGTTCGATTTTTTAAAGGCGAATCTGATGAATACACGAATGATGAATTCAATAAATACGTGAATGGTGTAATTGGTGAATGTTTCACCTCGGTATTACAAGAAAATTACCACAAATTACCGCTTGCATTTCGACGAACTGTGGAGCAAGCATGTCCTGATTTTCTTCGTCCAGAAAATTGGCCAGCTCGCGAGGGCATGGGGAACGCATTCAATCATCTCATCACTCAGTACATAACAAACGTGAAAAATAACATCAAAGTATGGGCATTCAGTCGCATCAAGAAATTTTTCACGCTAAAGCGCTACGAACTGAATTTGAATCGACAAGGAAATTTCATCACTGAATTGGATGTAAAACGTGCGACGAAGATCGTAATGTTCCAGAGTAGAGTCGAGAGAAACGCGAACATCGATCTTCTATTAAACGAAGCAGCAGGCATTGGATTGCCAATCAATGTACACTTTCAGAATCTCATTCGTGATCGCTGGTTCCAAACCATTCCAATATTTATAAACATTCAGCGACAAATTTTCGATTTTCACGCGAAATATGAAATGTTGAAACAACGCTGGTTCCAATATCGACGCGATCCGAACAACAAAGTCATGCCGACCACTCCACTCCCGCCAAAAATAAAGAATTTTTTAGTAGTTCCAATCCACGATTTCGATATGAAACATATCCGCATCGATATCCATCTTTTTTATTTGATTGCGCGCAAATTTGGAGCATTGAAATTGGCAAAAGGAAAACGCGGTCAGCCAATAAACATTGAAAAAACTGAATACGATAGCAATCCAGCTATCTATTGGGATTTAATATTTGACCTGCCAAAAATTTCGAAACTTGGAAATGGTAAGGAATTCAATTTTGCTGTGGCAACCGATAGTGTGGCAGTTTCGTTATGTTTCGTGAATCATTTGTTTACTTCTATGATTTTTTGTTCGTAAATCTCAGGAAAACATCACAATTGATGGTCCAAAATACCATTTCAAAGCGAAATATGGCAAACGCAAGCGTAAATCCGATCAATGGACTGAATTGTTGTAAAAAAAACGGGAGCTCGACTATAAACGCTATGCATTTTTTCCATCGCCGAAAGGACGTTCACATTGGATGTGTTACATCGCTTATTATGTGGAAATGATGAAACCAGCTATGGCGGTGTACACAACAAGACAGTTTATTCGATTCCGTCTTGATAAATACATCGAAGAGAATCGGGCCAGTGACAAAATCGCGGCATCACTGACGAAAAAAAAGTCGGCGCTCGTTTTTATTCAAGGGGCATTTTACTATATGCGAATGCCATTTTATACGGAATATATGAAAATTTTCCTATTCATACATGAAATATACGAAGCAAAGTATATTCATCCGCATCAACATCTATGAAAATTCGTACATTTCATTCGCAACCAT